GAGAGAGAGAGAGCAAGCTAGAGCCTGGCAAGATGGCTCAGTGGGTAAAGGCCCGGGCCACCAGGCCTGATAACCAGAGTTCAGTATCCAGAGGAAGAGAACTGACTCCTGAAATCCTCTTATCTCCATACATGTGCCATGGAACAGCCACACACGTGTGCACACACATGACATAAGGGTTATGTGGGGGGCATATCACTATAATCTCAGCACTCAGGAGGAGAGGCAGGAGGATCGTGACTCTCTGGTCAGTCTGTTTCAAAAGTAGAGGGGTGAAACCCAGGTGTGAACAGACCTCAGAAATGTGACACTGGAGGAAGGAAGCAGCCACAGCACGCCAAGCACTCTGAGTGGCCATCAGGTGTCTCCAGGATGGAGAAAGCAGCTCAAGTTAATTACAATGCCACTCAGAATTGCTAAAACCAGGGGGCTGTGCATTTTCAGTGGGCTGATTTAATGGCATGACTTGCATCTTGAGAAAGCGACTACAAAAGCAGTTGAGGGTAATATCCTGACCCCCAAAGAATAGGCCCCACTTGCTCCTGAATGGGGCTTTCTCAGAGGCTGAGAGGTCAGGGACCAGGAGAACAGGCCTGTGTCCTACCTTGTAGGCATTCCTCCATTTCTCGTCTAGTAGCTCCTCACTCTGTACCTTGCGGGCCAGGTGGTCACCGAGACCGGCTGCCATGATCTGCCGTAGGTAGGTTACTTGGCTCTCGGTTGGTGGCTGCATCTTGGGATCCAGGAAGAGCCCAACCTCAGGGCACACAGCATTGACTGGGGGGTGAGAGGAAAATGAGGGGTAGGAGTCAGGGGTAGGCTGCCAAACCTTTAGGAAATTGCCCGCCTTCAGGCCTCTCTCACAAGTACTTGGTTCTGATACACTGGCCAATGGTGGCTCCACCTAGACCCACTCCAGGAGCTGGATTCCCATGCATGCAAAGCCCTGAGGTACAGCCATCCTAGACTCCCAGGTGGCAGGGTGGTTACAGACACTGTGGCTCCTCTGCTGAAAGCCTAGGGAAAAGTGTGGTCCCACAGCCACTATACACGAATCCAGCCTGATGACCCATGGGATGAGGCTGGATAAGCCAGATGCCAGGTGCGACAGCAATCCACAAGGATGTCCTGTGGCTGGAAAATAATCACTCATCCTGGTCGTGAAGCCTGGAGCTACTTTGATGAGTTCCTTGTTAGACTTTGAAAGGGATATGGTGCCAGCAGTGACCTGTGACAGTGATTGCCCTGTCATAAAGTGGGGACCCTATTCTCTGAGTCCTTAGTGTTGCTGCCAGGAGTCACCTGTGGCCAAGATTGGTACGAATCCTGCGCTCATGCAGCCAGCAAGGAGGTGGCCTGGGGCAGCTAGCCTGAGGGACAAGTTTCTGGATGTGTGCATGGAAACCTGGCTGACTTGGGGTTATGAATTCATCCTAGTAAGAAGGCAAATGAGCAAATGTGCCAAGTACATGCAGATCCAGGTCAACTGTCTGCTGCACTGTCCCTCAAGCCATACCTGCAGTGGTCAGCTGGCCCCGCAGGCGCCGAATCTCCAACATGGCCTTGTAGCGAAGCCCATTGGCCTGGCAGAACTGGGGCGAGCAGCCAGCATATTCACAAGCACCCACAGCACCTGCAGATGGGGTGGGTTGGCCTTACTTGATGGCCCCATCCCAACCCGAATCTCCTCCCTGCCCCAGTGGCAGACACCTACCGAGTAGAACCATCAGGTCCCCAAGCTTTAGAGAGGCCCCCTGCCCAGCCCAGGTCCTCTTCATCTGGGCCACCCGAGCCCGTCGGCCTTTCAGCACTGTGAGCTCCTCATCACTGGCGGCTGGTCTATAAAGATGTATACAGACAGAGACAAGGACGCACAGACATAGACAAAGATACACACCCACACACACCCAGTAACCCAGATACAGACACCCACCCAGACACCCATAGGCACAAACATAGCCCCACCTCCCACAGACACGTATACAGCCACAAATACACACACAGACATACACACTTATAGACACATAAACACTGAGTTTATACCTGCCACCCATCAGGGCCTCCCCAGGTCACTGTTGATATCAGAGAATCAAGGGCTCAGAGGGACCAGGGTGGGGGGTTGCCAACTTACCTGTCCAGTTCCTCGAACAGCTCACGCACAGTGATGGCAGCAACAATGGCGATGGTGTAGGGCAGGCAGTCATGTTGCCAGCTCAGTGCCAGCATCTTAGCATAGCGGGGTGCCACAGGGAAGGTGGCCATGGTTCGCCCCAGAGCTGTGATGGGGCAGCTCAATTGGGATACTTGTAGCTGTTTCATCCTGTGGACAAGGGCCCTGATAGGTGGGTGCCAGGAGGGGGGTCCCAGAGTCAGCACTTGGAGGCCCCATGATTGCCTGGATGTGCCCTCTCCCCCTACCTTTCCTCTTTTGGGGGTGCTTGCAGGGCCCCCAGTGCAATTAGCAGATCCTCAGCAGCAATGAGGGCCTCCATGGAGGGAGGTGTGGGGAAAGGGAAGTTGATGACCTGGGGACAGGAAAGTGAGAGAAGGACAGAGTGATGCCAAGAAACAGGGATCTCACAGAGGCTACAGCAAGTGTTGCTTCTATCCCTCCTTCCCACTTGTCCCTGGCCATGAGTCACACCAACTGGAACATAGAGCTTGGATGCCCAGCAAGCTGCCAAGAACCCTCCAGGCCCATGTGCTGGGGTGAACCCAAAGTCACCCTCAGATGTGGTGCCCCAGCACTTGGGAGGCAGAGGTAGAGGCTCTGTGAGTTTGAGGCCAGCCTAGTCTACATAGTGAGTTCCAGGCCAGCTGGAGCTACAGGGAGACCCTGTCTCAAAAAAAAAAAAAAAAAAAACCCAAACCAAGCCAACCAAGAAAACAAACATAAAAGCCACCCTCAGTAAGGCCTGCCACCTCAGCCATCTGAGAATATGCCATGAATCTGTGTGCCAGGGGCTATCCATGGCAACTGAGATCTAGAAACTTCCAAGAGACAGCATGTAAATTACGCAAGATTTAGAAGAATAGAGTGACAAAATATTATATTTGGAAAATATAGCTAGGGACATGAGCAGCCACAGGGATGGATATCATGTTCTTTATGGTGTCCCAAAGCATATGACTTTTTCTATCTTTAAATTGGTTATGTTTGCAAGGAAGAAAAAACACTGAGGAATTTCCCCCTCTAGTTCCCATTTACTTTTTATTTTTGAGACAGGATGACCTGAAACTTGCTATACAGACCAGGCTGGCCTTGAACTCAAGAGATTTGCCTGCCTCTGCCTCCCAAGAGCAGGGATTAAAGGGGTACACCTGGCCTCCAAGGATATATTCTTAATTTTTCTTTTGGGATGCTGAGATGGAACAAGGGCCTCCCCATTTGAGCTATACCCCAGCTCCAGATACATTTATAACCATCTGGGTTTTATCACTAGATGTGTTCTTAGATGGAGCCCTTCACTTCCCTCGTTTGTTAAGTGGGGATCTGGCTGCCATGTGATGGCAGGAAGGCTAGAGGAATCAATCTGCACAGCACACAGCATGGGTAGATCCTGTTGGCTGGTTCACCCCATTTTGGAGTATGGACAGGACTCCCTTGCCCACCAGAGGACCATGCCAGTAAAGGCCACAGTCAGGGATCATCAGGACATCTGAGGGCCCAGGAGCAGTGTGGTACCTCAGTACCCATAAGTCTCTGTCCCTTGGGGGAAAGGCAGCACCAGGAAAGCTGTGGTCACAGGAGACTGAAGACCACCAAGGGCATCTTCTGACACACAGTCCCTTGAGATGCTGTTCTAGCTGGTCTCCAGCAGGTATAGCTCTGTAATAATGGACTGTATCAGGCTGAAGGTCTACCAGTAACATGGTGGGAGATTGTGGGCTAAGACCAATCTTTTTTTTTGTCTTTTTGAGACAGGGTCTCCCTGTAGCCTCAGCTGTCCTGGATTCACTATGGAAACCAGGCTGGCCTCGAACTCACAGAGATCTCCCTGCCTCGGCCTCCTGAGAGCTGGGATTAAAGGCATGCAGCACCATGCCCTGGCTTGATCTTTTCTTTTTTTCAAAAAATTTTTTGCTGGGCATGGTGGCGCACACCTTTAATCCCAGCACTCAAGAGGCAGAGGCAGGTGGATCTCTGTGAGTTCAAGGCCAGCCTGGTGTACATAGTGAGTTCCAGGACAGCTGGGGCTACAGGGAGACCCTGTTTCAAAAAGACCAAAAAAAAAATTTTTTTTAAATTTTATGTGTATGAGTGTTTTGCCTCCATGTATGCAAGTGCCCACGTGTGTGCAATGTATATGGGGCCAGAAGAGGATTTTCACTGGATTTGCTGGAACTGGAGTTACAGATGGTTGTTAGCTGCCATACAGGAGCTGCTTAAGAAGAACCAATGCTCCTAACCACTGAGTCAGCCCAATACTGACCTTTTCAATGTTGAGAGCTTTCATTTGCAGGATCAAGTCCTCCACAGGTCTGCGAGTGATTTCTGGGGGAGGAAACTGCTCAAAGTCCCCAAAAACCGCAGAGGAATACAGCCTGAGTCGGGGAAAGTGGAGACCAGAAGAAAGAAACTCAGCCAGACTATGGGTCCAAGCATGCCCACTACACACCAGGCTAGGCTCTCACCACACCACTCAGTTAGTCCCCACTCCAGCCACTCTGGAAAAACTTCAAACCACCAGAAAACATACAAAATGTCTAATTTACAAACGAGCTGTCTGAATAGACAGCTCCCTAAAGGGTACACAAAAGGTGGACCAGTGTACTAGGATGCTCAGGCATTCACCCTGAGGGAAAAGCAGACTCAAAGCTACACACAAAAGACCCCACCTCACACCCCTGCAGCAGATCCAACACGACTGTAACACTGGGGTATGGGATCAGAACCCTGGCACCTGTATGGGGGCTGGAGGAAGTTCAGTGGTTCCTCAGGAACTTATGCCTGGAGCACCATGGGACCTGGAAACTCCTTGGTGCTTTCCCAAGGCAGAGACATTCCAGCTAACACAAGGACACGCGTGTTCACAGCTGCCTAAAGTGCAGCAACCTGGAGCTGGAGATGGCTCAGCAGTTAAGACCAGCACTGGCTGCTCTTGTAGAGGACCCAGGTTTTGTTTCTAGCACCCACATGGTGGATAAAAACCATCCATAACTCTGGTTCCAGGAGATCTAAGCCCCTCTTCTGGCTTCTTCAGGCATTGCATTCCCAGGTACACTTTATATGCACACAGGCACAACACATTAAAAAAAAGAATAGTAATTCATCAACTGATGTCAGCCACCATAAAGAACATGTCAAGATGCAGATGAGGGGCTGGAGAGATGGCTTAATGGTTAAGAGCACAGTGGCTGCTCTTGCAGAGGACCTGGGTTCAGTTCCCAGCACCTACATGGCAGCTAACAACTGTCTGTAACTCCAATTCCAAAGGACCCAACACCCTCTTCTGACCTCTGTGGGCATTGCACGACGCAGATACACTTACAAACATGCAGGCAAAACACTCATACACATAAAATAAAAATACTGTTTTTTTAAAAAGATGTGAATGAACTCAAAATTCTGTTAGTGGTGGAAGCCTGACATGAAAGGCCACATCTCTCTGGGACAGTCATGTGGGGAGGAGCACTCACGGGGCTGTGGGAGTGACTCACAGGGGTAGGGCTTCTTTTAGGGTGATGAAAAGTGCTGACTTGATTGTGGTGCTAGCTGCCCAACTATGAATGACTTTAGAAAGTGAATTATTTCTGAAGTAGCTATTGACCAAACAAGAACACAGCAGCTGAGGACAGGCCCTGATATCAGCAGCACAGAAAATCAATGCCCATGTCTGTGCTGTGGTGCTCCTGAGGAGACTGCAGAGGGGCAGATACACTTTCTCACTCCTCAGTGATGTATCACAAGAAGACTGTGGCTTACCTGTAACAGTGACCTGGCTCTGTCCGACCTGCGCGACCTGCCCGCTGGTCAGCTGATGCCTGAGAGACCCAGGTGACACGGAAGGAAGACACACCAGTGACTCGGTCGTAGTGGCGCCTCTTGACCTTCCCACAGTCCACTACATATTTGATGCCGGGAATGGTGAGGGACGTCTCAGCCACATTGGTGGCCACAACACATAGCCTTATCCCCTTTGGGGGAGGTTTGAAGACCTGGGATGGGTGTGAGCAAGATGATGCCAGAGTCAGTTGAAACCCTGTGAGACAGAGCCAGCAAATGGACCTGTTGACCACCAAGCCCCAGGCACAAATACTAGGAGTTATAACTCTTCCCCCACTATCTGGGACTGGTCAGAAAGTAGATGGAAGGGCACTTGGACATACTCCATCTCAATGCTGTTAGGAAGTGCCTTAGAGAAGCGGCAGGAGCCCCTGACCACACACCCAGCCCCGTCCATTACCTGTGCTTGCTTCTCTGGGGCCAGCAAAGAGTAGAGTGGGAGCACATGAAGAGGCAGAGAGACATCTGGCTGCTCACCTGTGAGCAAACAGGCCACTAGTGTCCCAGACAAATGACACAGGCAAGGGCCACAGCTAGCTGTCCAATAGTTCCAACCTGGCTCAGCGAGAGGCCCCACCCAGCCTCAGGCCTGAGGGCCCATGTTTAGAAACAGCACTACAGGCTGGCCACACCTAGGAAGTCCTTGAAAGTTGTTAGTGCAGTGCAGGACAGCACAGGCCTACAAAGCTGATCACAGCATCTCCCGAGTTCAGGTCTCTGAAAACTGTTAGTGTAGCACCGCACAGTCTCGTGAGACCAGCCACAGCATTTTCTGAGAGCAGGCTGGCCCTGGTCTCCAGATGTGTTCAGACAGCATGGCAGGTGAAGGGAGGCTGTGCTTGTATGGAAAGAGCCCTTTCCAGACACAAAAATCCATACCACAGTTTCTCACTCTAAAGAGTCTTAAACCGGGCATGGCAGTGTATGCCTTTAAACTTAGCACTCAGATCTCTGTAAGATCAAGGTCAACCTGGTCTACATAGAAAATTTCAGGCCAGTTGGGGCTATAGGGAGACCCTGTCTCAAAAAGACAAAAACGAAACAGTATTGCTATGTTGCCCTGGCCCTGAGTAGCTGGACTTACAGGTGCTTGCCACCATATCTGGCCCCAGCTGAACAATAAAGAGCTAGGCTTGTCAACATATACAGGGCCCCTATGAACCTGGAAGCCTTCCTTATTGCCTGAGGCCTTTACCAGCCCAGCAAAGCCAGTCTTGGAGTGGCAACCCCATCACCACTATGCCAAGCTGGGCATCACGACATCTCAGTGGGCAGAACCAGAAGGAAGGCCTACACCTCTAGGCTCATACAGCAACAGGAGCCTAGATGTACTTGGCCACATCCATGAGGACAGGATTTGGGCTCTTCTTGTGATACCCAAGGCCTACCATGCAACAGGGGCTCAGCAAATCCTCACTGAAATAAGGAAGCAATGAACTTAAGGACGGGGCTCTGCTGGGTCACACCTCCATCTGCCTCACTGTCACCCAGGTCCAGATCCAGGTCGGAGCCCACGATCTCCTCCTCGTCCATCTCTGCTTCCCTGTCCTCATCACCTTCGCCCACTGGCAGCACCGAGTAATTATCCAGGTTGATCTGGGGCAATGCCTGGGGTGATGAGACATCAACACCATGGGCTGAGGTGACCCAGGTACGAACCAAGCTGTACACTGAGGGTGGGGGGTGTCTTTGCTAACAGAGGGAATCTTCTATGGAGACCTAGGGGGTAGGGGTTACTGAACTTTGACCTCCTTTCATCTACATTTATCACTGAAAAATCAAGTCTGATTATAGTGAATTCACAGGGCTGCTGTAAGCTAAATACACACAGCTCAGCATGCTGCCTGGTCCACTGTAAATGCCCAGAAAGGTAGAGGCCACCAAGTACCCACAAAACTGACAAGGTATCCAGCCAGTGGTGTGCCCTGGGGTGGCCCCTCTAGCTAGTTCCTCAGCTTCAGGCAGTGGATCTCAGCAAATACCCAGGCCTCTCTGTGTGCTCCCAGGATCTTCAAAGGTCCTGTTCAGTGCCTGGCCTGCTAGAAGCTTCTTCTAATTACGATGTAAATAATAACCTCCTCCCACTTTGAAGAGTCCAGAGATGCACCATCCAGTAAGACTCTACTGTGGAGTGAGGCTGCATCATTGTATCCAATGTAGTCACCAGCAGCCTTACATGGCTCCCAGGCACCTGAGGTGAGTCTGGTATGAATAAGATCTGGTGTTTTTATTTCATTTCACACTAGTGGCATTTAAATGCAACAGTTGCATAGGGCTGGCAGTCACCATCCTGGACAGCGCAGGGCCACCAAAGGCTTCCACATACCACAGCCTGGGCTTTCCTGGCCCTTGTCCGGGACTTCTTAAACTTCCGCATGGCTTCTGCTGAGTCCTTTTCCTCTTCCTTCTCTGAAGGGGGGTAAGGTAGGAAGAGACACCTATGGCCAGCATAGGCAGCTGCCACTGTATTCTGTCACCCAGAGCAAGGCTGCTGCACCCATGCCCATTATTATTTTTTGGGGGGGTGGGGGTGGGCAAAGGTGCAGGCTCTTCCAGGGACACTGAGGTTGAGGCTGATGTCCTAGCCAGGGCACTAGGTGTCAGGCCCAGGTGTGTGGGTATGATGCTCAGATGGGGGCCCTGGAGCAGGTTACCTTGTGGTCGGGAGCCTCGGGTGGGGAAGGCTTTCCTGAGCCGGCGGCAGAATGCATGTACCTCAGCCTGCCCTGTGAGGAACACCAGGATGCCACCTGCACAGAGAACTCAGCCTGTCACACAGCAAACTTAACCTAGTAAGGAGTACCTGCTCAGAGGCTAAGTTCAAGGGACAACTGGAGCCAGGACCCAGGGAAACAGGTGCTGAGTGGGAGTCAGTTACCCTAGGCCAGGAGAGCAATAAGGGGCACTGGACAGACCCAATAGCACCTGCTGGACCCAGACTCCAAAGGACAGAGGCTGTCCATGAACGGCCTGATTTGAGTGGTTACCACCCAGCTCTGCCTTTGACCTGAGAGGGAGTGGGGGCTGAGGCTGAGGTCTGGGAACTTGCACTATGTTATCTGGGCATCACTGTGCTGATAGAGGGGGACTGAAAACAAACCCATGCTTTCAGTGAGGGAAAGACTTGCTGGGCCCCATTTGGATTCACCTGCAGGTAACATCCGGTGGATCTTACAGACCTTCCGAAAGCACTCGCCACTGTAGTCATCCAGTGGGGTCTGCTTGTTAAAATGTACTGTCACAGGAAACTGCCTGGATTCAACCTATGACAGGCCACAAAGGCAAGGGAGGGCTGTAGCCTAGGGCTGACTCCCTCTGGCCTCTCTGGACCACCTCCAACACTGCCAGTTCTCACATGTCAAGGCCAGGTCAAAGCTGGTAGAGGCCTGCCGAGTCTTACCTTGATGACTGGGGGTGGTGTGGTAAAGAGCCGCTGGTTCTGGGTGAAGTCCTCTACCCGCAGTGTGGCCGACATAATGAGCAGCTTAAGGGGTAGGTGCCTCTGTGGAGGATGGGATGGTGACCCTTGGGCAAAGCACGGAGACTGCAGTGGAATCATGCCCTCCACCCATCTCTCTCACTCCCAACCCCTTACACCTCTCTCATCTCCCTGCCCCGCCTCCACATGTGACCAGCAAATTGCATTCCTCAGTTGCCCCCAGGAGAAAGGAGACATGGCCACAGGGAGCATGTCTTATGTGTGGTCTGCTGGTGACACAGGCCAGGGTCCTGAGACAGAGGGGACATAGCAGGATGCCACCTACACATCATAGCCAGCCAGGATGGTTGACCCAGAGACAGTGGACCTAGGCCACCTGTGGACGGGGAAAGGGAGGGTCATCAGGATGGGAAGGAGTGAGCAATGGGGTCCAGGGTTTCTCTCTGGAGAGACAAGAATGCCCTAAAGCTCACTGGTGATTGCACAGCTGTGAGAATGTGCTGGGAACCAGAGTAACACTCTAGATGAACTCATCAGATGGTACGTGAGTAAAGCCTTCTACTAAAGACAAATCAAGATCCCTGCAGAAGCCTGCCCCAGGGCTTTGTCCCTGATTTGCCTCTGCTGGGACTCCCCTCACCCTCTATCCACTCTGTTGTGCCTTCACTTCCATTATTAGGTTGCCTTTTCAGGGACTCCATCACTGACCCTCAGGCCTCCCTGGCACTCATCCACCTTGGCTCAGTTTTGGAATCTGCTCACTGCCCAATGCCCTGGCTGAATGGTAGAACCAGGAGGGCCGGGTCTGCCAGGCTACCCTTTCCTGTGCACACTGTCCATCGCTAGTGCTTACACATGGCCTGGCCAATGGTACCCTGAGCACCCACCTCTCCACTGAGCTACTATTTGGGAATCAGAGACAGGGCAGCTTAGCAGATCCCTCCAGATCACATTTGTCCCAAAGCTGACCTCTGACATTCGCTGTCTAAGAGGAGATGGGGCAGAAGCTGGAGGAAGCGTAGGCCCATGGGGAGCAGAGGGCTTGACCTGTCAGCCCTGCCCACCCCACAGAGCCTGAAGTCCTGTGGTTGGCTCCTGCATGGTTTCCCTGTTTCAACTTTTTGCCTGAGTCTCTGGGGAATAGAGAAGGGCCACCATGCATGAGGTCGAACCCTGGCCCACGGGTGAGGAGAGGCAGACAGAATCATGCAGGGCTGGCTACAGAGACTCAGCCTGGCACTGGTCAGAACTTATGCCTAGGCAGGCCATGTCATCTGGTACCTCTCATAGCAGTGGCCCAGGGGACAGAAGGGGTATAGGCTAAGGGGCCCAAGCCCCTTACAAGGTGGTGGTGGCTTTGGTTTGCCCATCTGCCCACTTCCCTCGTACCTTTGCCCGGAGAGCCACGATTCGGGACAGAAGGCCTAGGAGGATGTCTGTGTACACACTCCGCTCGTGGGCTTCGTCAATGATCACCACTCTGTACTTGAGCAGCAAGAAGTCCTGTAGGGCGCAAAGAGGCCATACCACAGTGCCACTGAGGCCCCCCAACCCCAGCCAAATGCATGTTGAACTCGGGGCACATGGACAACTCATGTGACCAAGACCCAGAATGTTCAAGTTCCCTCAAAACCTCCCAGAGGTCAAAGGGACGGCCAGAGCGGCAGCACAGGGCATCTTGACCTCCTGCATTCTCAGCCACTGGACACAGGCTGGGAGTCAGGTGGCAGTACACTGTACAAATACTCTTTCTCTTTTCTCTCATTTCCTCTTTCTTCCCTCCTTCCTTCCCTATCTTTCTTTTGATAAGTCTCTTTTACCCAGGGTGGGCTTTGAACTATGTAGCCAAGGATGACCCTGAACTTCTTGTCTTTGGGTCTCCATCTCTCAAGGTTTGTCACTACAGGTGTACACAACATACCTGGCTTTCTGTGGTGCTAGGGATGAAACCCAGGGTTTTGCCCAGGCTAGGCAAGCCCTCTACGACCCAAGGACATTCCCAGCCCCTCTAGCTTTCTGTTTAAAAAACGAAGACAATGCAAAGTAACAGGCCTCATTATGCCTTGCTTCTCACCTGCCTGTCATGTGCTCTGCTCACATTCACCCCATGCCCTCATCACTGAAAGTCAATGTCACATAGCAACAGGCACAGCGGTCCATGGTATGACTGGTCAGGGTGACATCCTAATCCCCACTGCCGTGCTGTACTCCTTTTGTGAGACAAGACAGGCAACCAACCTTCTGGATTTCTTTGAGCAACACACCGTCTGTCATGAACTTGATCCTGGTCTCTTCAGTCATGTTTCCTTCATACCGGATCTGATAGGAGACAACCCTGTGGGACAGGCTTGGTCTCAGGGCAAGTGACTTCCGCAGAGCTGTAGCAGGCTGGGGCTTCAGCCACATGATCCCTTTAAGGGGGGTGGGAGGTCCCTCTCCAGCCAGGATCCCTAGCTCCCATCTCCAGGGTGCAGGGTGGGAAGATGCTTGGGTGACAGACTAAGAAGCTATGTCACCAAACACCATGGACCTTGGCCAGAGCATGGCTGGAACTCACTGGGGAACAAGCAAGTCCAAACCTCCAGAACCATGCAGTGACGTTTGAGGACAAGATGGAGATGGAACTGGGTTGGTCACAGGTGGCTTGTTATACTCTCTACTTCTACATATACCTGAACATTTCAATTAAGTTAAAGACCTGGGGCTAGGGGAGGAGCTTGGTGGTAGGGCAGCCACCTAGTATGTTGGGAGGCCCTGCATTCCATCCCCAGTAGTGCAACAAAATGCAAAAGAGCAATCCACAGCCAGTTCTGGGCTTACTGCCAGGGGAGGATTCACATTTTGGAACTTTGGGTTTAAATGAATTTGCAATACAGAAGTCACTAAGCAGCTGCCACTTGCTCTACAGTCAAGCTTCTGTATGGGCTCACTCTGACCATCCACCATGTGCTATGCACCTGGCTAGCCTCGTCCTTGCATTGTGGGCCCTGCCTCAGAGGGTCTGGAGATCTCTGTTAATTATCCCTGGGCTCTTAGGTAGAGCCAACACTCTCATTTGTCCCCTTGGCATAGGAAGTGCCCCAGGCAGCTCGGTTCCTCCAGCAAGGCTGCAGGGCCCCCACCCCTTCCCCTAAGAAGCAGGGCCTCACCGCTGAGATACGTTCATCTCCTTGGCCACTCGCTGGGACATGGCCACAGCAGCCACTCTTCGGGGCTCTGTGACACCAATGATGCTGTCCTCACTGGGAGGGAATGGAATATGTCAAGAGTGTGGCTATGCCTGTCTGTCCCTGAGCCACCCATGTTCCACAGTAACATCATTCACTGCGGGGATGAGACATGATGAAGAGGTATAAGAGACAGCATTGCTGTGAATGGCCCAAGGCCAGCACGGCACAGATGCACGGATAGCCACCAGGCAGGCAACACAGTGCCGCACTGAAAAGAGACCAGGCAGAACTTGGGATCTGGCTGGGACACATCCCCAGAAGACAGTAAGGAAGTTTCTGACAGAGAATCACTGTGAGGACCTGGGCTGCAAGGCATTCCTGAACACACAAGAGATATGTACAGTGGTAAGTTCAGCAAAAGCCCGAGATCAGAGGACAGGAAGGCCCCTGGGTTGGTTGCTCAGTCCTGATGGGTATACCCCTAATGGAGACACGGAGTGGGGGCTGGGTGAGGGGAATACTCTGCACCATCTTATCAACTTTTTTGTCAACTTAATTACTTAACTTCCCAGTGACTTTACTAGAGGGACAGGGTGGGGGGGGGTAGGTACAGGAAAGTACACTAAGAGCACAGGTCCCAGCAAGAAAAGCTTAGTATATACAGTGAACACACAAGAGGACTTGCTCTAGTTCCAGGGAGGACAGACTGGCTGGAGAACATCCTCATTTCGAATTGGTTGACACTCTGGGAAAGCACTCCTAGGAGTCTGCCCCCCACATCACTCCACACCCTAATCCGTCTGCTGACTGCCAAGGGAACAAACCATGAGTCCTGGAGTCTGTCTGAGCTCCTGAGGACGTGACACACTGGGTTCACAGTGCCCACAGGAGGCCACACAGTGACACTAGGGAACACACTACTGCAAACACTGGCCCTAGTACTTTGTGTACATGCATGCACTGAGTCACATGACCACTCTGAGCCCAGCACCATCATCACCCCCATCTCACAGCTGACAACAGAAGCCCCTCTGCTAAGCAGCCTGTCTGAAGTCACACAGCACACAAACAGTAGAAGACAGGACCAGGTCCCCAGATGCTTAATTGCTCTTGGAGCCCAAGAGTCTACTGTCCCCTCTGGGTCCAGCCCCACCTGCTGTAGCCAGCTTCATAAAGAAACTGGGGCACCTGCGTGGTCTTCCCACTGCCAGTCTCGCCACACACGATGACAATGGGGTTCTCGGACACCGCCTCCATGATGGCTTGTTCTTCAGCAAGGATCGGGAGCTTGAGTCGCTCTTCCTGTGGGAAAAGTCAGCACTCAGGGAGGGGCTGCCAACAGAGGGTGAGGAGGGACCCCACTTATACACAGGTCAGGCAGGGTGGCACAGTGCCTAAAAGGTGTAGCCAGGTGTGTGTTGAATGGAAGCATCATGGCCAGGAGAGGCCACAGCCTGTGCCCTAGAGAAACTGCTATCCCCACCATGCCCACTTTCCCAGAGGCGGAATCTGAGTCCTACCCACCAGAATATCTATCCCACTTCCTGCCCTTACCATACTATCCCGTGTCCTTAACTACGACCATAGAGGGGCGAACCTGCATTTCAGGGGTGCGGTTCACAGGGATGAAGATAGTGGGATTGGCCAGAGGTCGAGGTGGGGCAGAGGCTGCTGTCTGTGAAGGTGCAGGGGTTCCAGCTGGAGGGGGCTGAGTATTGGGCACCAGGTTCTCAGCTGCAGAAGAAACTGATGGCACATGCACTGATGTTGTCCCTGTGCTGGTCCCAGGCTGGTCAGAGTCTCTGGCCCCTTCAGACTCTGGGTCAGACTCTGAATCCTCTGAAGACTCAGATGTCTCCTCTGCTGATGACCGGCGGCGCTTCTGGTGAGCCCCGCCAAGACTACTGACCTTCTGTGCTTGTGCTGGTGGCTGGTTGGGTTTCCTGCAGGGACAGCAGAGAAGCCACCTGGCATGACCTCTCACTACAGGTCATGGTCAGAGACCACAGCCCCCACCTGGGGGAAGGGGCTTTGTACTTGCTGTTCCCACTTCCCAAAACATGATTCCTGCAGATTGTCACTCTATTCAAAAGGCACCTACCAGTGTCTGTCTATCACTTGCCACAGCCCCTGATGCCAGCCTTTTTTCCTCTAGGTTGCCTTGTCTCTTCTTTATTTTTGGCTTAGTTCTCACAAGTGCCAGGTGTACGTGTATTATTCTGATGAATGCCCTACCTTCCGAAGGGAAAGAACTGTTTCTGCTCCTTGCTCCACCTAGGGCCAGAGATGCCAGGGCAGTGTGCACTCAGCCAATAGCAGCTCCATGAGCTGAGCAGTTGCAAGCACAGAAGGGGTGTGCACTGGCCCAGGATGGGTTGCCCTATGGGAAGAACAGCCCGTGGTGCCTCCCCCTACTACCTGGTCTACCCCAGTCAAGTCCAGGTGGAAAGTGAGCTTTTCAGTGTGTTCTCCAAATTCCTGTTGTCACTTGTACTGAGTTAATCTTTGGCATCATGGCAAGCAGGACCTTTGCAGTCAGGCGTTAGCTGAGGTGGGGGCTTATGGGTATCACTGATGTGGACTACCGGCCTACTTGTGTCCTGTAGGATGCCTGGCAAGTGTGTGGCCTTTGCCCAGGAGGCGTTCAGCATGGTCCACAGGTCACTCACTCTTTGGTGTGGTACATGTGGTCCCCAGTGCCCAGCCTGGCAGTGGCGTAGAAGAGACTCATCTCGGCCTCTGACACCTGGACTTCACTCAGTTTCTGCAGCAGCTCGGCACGCTGGTAAAGACATAAGGATATAAACCACCAGGTAGGGTTACTCATCAGGTACCATGCCTTCTCCTTAGGTGGAGGCTCGGTCCTGAGTGGGATCTAAGCTCAACACCAGACTCAAAACTGTAAGGCAGAATTCGCCCTGTAGCTATAAGGCATTCCAGAGACACAAGAGCTCTGCCTTCTCCTTTACAGAATCCAGGTCAGGGGATAGGGCACAGTGTGATGCTGCCCTGATGTCCCAGCAACTGGAGACTGCATAAAGCATATTACTTGATTGCTGAACTCAGGAAGGATGGCCCTGTGAGTGCTCGTGTGGCCAGTCCCCAGGCCACTGGCATGGCACAGCAGGGATGTGTAGGGGGATTTCCTTCACCTGAGTAGAAACAACGGTCTGGGCTTTATTGATTCTGAAACTGTTCAGGTATTCTTTCTTTTCTTTTCTTTTTGAGATGGGGTCTCCTGTAGCCCCAGCTGGCCTTGAACTCACAGAGATCCTCCTATCTCTGCCTCCCGAGTGCTGAACTAAAGGCATGCACCACCAAGCCTAGCTTCAAGTGTGCTTTCTATACACAGCACTTTATGCACACCTCACAATTTTTTAAAAAAGGTAATGAGTCAGGTTAGCAGATTCATGGAAAACACAGAACATTTCCCTCCTTCCATAAAGTTCTAGCAGGCAGTCTTGCTGCAGAGAGCATGTGACAGTGGACAAATGCTCCCAGGGCCTCCAACCAGATGAGGCGTACCTGGCTCTTCTTCTCTTTCTGTTCTAAGACTTTCTGCAGCATCTTCTTCTCCTTCTTGGTCAGCGGCTTCCTCTCCTTCTTTGACGGTGGTGGTGCCCTGGTCTTTTTCTTCTTCTTTCCCGGTAGCACAAGTACATTGCTTGAATCCACTCCTTTCAACACATCCTTGTCTGCAAAGACAGCCTGTCTCACTCGGTGCAGGGAGCCACACAGTGTCCTAGGTATTTATTCATGGCAGGCACCAAGCCAGGCCACCACCTCCTGCAGGCAGTCTCTGAGTGCACAGCAAGGGTCTGTGTGTCACACTGCTCTCATTACCACGTTCTGACATTCAAGAGGGGCTGGGGGTATAGATGGTAAGATGCCTGCCTAACATGTTCTAGTACTGCATAAAACCAAGTATGGTTAGACATTCAAAGTCATCCTTGCCTACATAAGCCAGCCTGGATCACATGAGGCCCAAGTTCAGCACTACACTACTGACATGTCTGCTATTAAACATAAGAGCTAGAATGAAAATTCAGTTCTCATGTGCTCTTCACTTCCTCGAGAAGGCCATTCCTGCCTCGAAATCAGGTGCCATTTTGCAGATGGGAAAACAAAGGCACAGGTATATGAGGTGATGCACACAAACTCAAACATTGAGGAAAGTACTCAAACACCCAGCTCCCTCTCTGACATCCTTTGCTACAAAACTCACCACCTCCTGGTCCAACCAAGGGAGGAAAGAATACCAACTAGTGGGTGGAGGGAAGCAGGCTTCTTGGTCCTGGCTCCCCAGCTCCATTTCTGGAATCTTTCCTAATACCTAATTCAGCCTGTCTTAGGGAGGCTTTCTCTAACAGATGGTAGAGTTCAACCTGGGAACTCATTTAGTTTCAGGGGCCTGGAGGACACCCTTGAACCTGCTGGATCACTTCAGCCCAACTCTCCTCCAAACCAGCTTGATTCAGGTGGTAGAGCCCCCAAGTGCTCCATCCAACACTCCCATTCTCCCTTCCTAACCCAAAACACTGCCTCAACTGGAAGGTGAGTCCTTCTCCCAAGCCCAGGTCCACACCATCTTCCCAGCTTTCCTCGTCTTCCATTTCCCTCTTTCAGGGCTGGACTCTTTTCTCAGTGAGTCAATAATCCAGTCTTAGGACTTAAAAATTTATTATTTATTATTATTATTTATTATATATTTATATACATTATATATTATTTATTATATATAATTGTTTATTATTAATTATTTATTATTTGTCCGAGGTATAATACTTGCAGGTAGGTAGGTAGGTAGGTGCACCAATGTTGTGCAAAGTTCATGGAGGTCAGAACAGGGCATCAGATCCCCTGGAAAAATGGAGCTCTGGATGGTTGTTAGTCGCCATGTGAGTGCTGGGAATCCAACCTGGGTCCTCTCCAAGAGCCCTGAGCCATTTCTCTAGCCCCAAGTCTTAGGACTTAAATATCATCTATACACAAACTATCATCTATACACAAAATTGCTTATGCTCCCTGGATTTGCCTGCCTTGAGTAAAGAGCTGTCAGCTTCCCTCCCTGCTCAGACATCTGCAGGGCCCCAAGCACTCATACCCAAAGCTGGGCTCACAGGGTTCCCTTGAGCTGCCCACCCTGCCCTCTTTAACAGCCCAGCCAATACCCACAAGACTCACTCTTGTCACCTTTGTACTTGTGTGCAAGCCCAGTCAGCCTGCAAATCATACCAGCTCCTCCTTCAGAATGCACTGAATCCAAACATCTCCTTCCTTGCCATGACATCCCTGATCCAAGCATCAATTCCAGTCTGCTACCCCACCATCCTTCAACCTCTCATGCTTTTGCTTTATGCTACTGTTGTACACTAGCCCACATCCTTGTCCCTCTTTTCTCTCTTCTGGGGGTTGGGGACTTAGACAGGGGCTTGCGCCGTAGCCCTAGCTGGCCTAGTATTTGTTATGTTGTCCTTGAATCCACATCACTCACTCCTGCTTCAGCCTACCTAGCGCTGGGTTTACAGACGTGCCAACACTCACAACACCTCTCTCTCTCTCTCTCTCTCTCTCTCTCTCTCTCTCTCTCTCTCTCTCTCTCTCCTGGCTATGTTTTGTTTTTGTTGGGACAGTCTTACTGTGTAACCCGAACTGACCTCAAACTCTAAGGGATCCTCCCGCACAAGCCATCATACTCAGCCACTCCTTCTCTTAAAAGCCTAGTCCTCTCTACAACCCACAAGGCCTGATGTGCCTTTCGTTTCCACTCGGGCCCCGTTAAGGTCCTGACTTTCTCTGAGATGTCTCCAGGAAGCATGCCACTCAACTCCACACACTCCCATCTTCGCCTCTATCTCCCACGTACGTGCATGTCTGCCACAGTCTATGTATTGTACCATTTATCTCTGCCTGTCTCCTCTGTGCAGGCATGCAGACAGAGCGACAGCGCTTCCACATCCTTTTCTGCCGACCCCACTCCCAGAGCTCCCATCACCAAGTGCCGCATGCAAACAGCGTGGCGCTGGACTCACGGGTCTGGGCTTAAAACAGCCAGACGAGTCTCTGGCACATTCCGTGACTACATTCACGGAATGAATGAAACGACCTCCTTTGTGCACCAAATTCGCCGGGAGCTTACGCCAGTCACCGCGACCCAGGATGTCAAGGCCCTTGCCACCAGTCACGTGGCAGGGACTGGTCCCCATCCCAGGCCCCGGGGACCCTCACCTCATCCCCAACCCCGGTCGCCTCACCCTCGAGCTCCAGCTGTACCGGGGGCGGCTCGGGGCCCTTGGCCAGGCGCGGGCCCGTCTGTAGCCGCCCCTTCACATTGTAGCGCCGGCGCAGCTTCCCCATGTCTTCTCCAACCCGCTGCCTAGGTACAGCTCGGGCGAGCGCCCGGACCCAGGTAGGCCGCGAGACTTCCGGGTTGTGATCTCGCGATATTGGGAGCTGCGCGGAGTAGCTGAAGGAGGCACCAGTAGAAAGGCGGGGCCTTAGCGGAAGGGGTGTGGCATGGCAAACCCAGGGCCGGTCTGATGTAAAGAAGCGGGCTGCCGAGAGCCCGAAGTTTCTGCCTGGGCTGTTTTCCAAAGTGTGGTCTGAGGAAACCTAAATTGCTATAAATACTAATTTGGGGCTTGTTATGTTGTTGTGTTGTTCAGCGGTTAAGAGCGCTTGCTGCTCTTGCAGAGGACCTGAGTTCGTATCCCAGCACCCACATCAGATGGCTCACAACCGCCTATAACTGCAGTTCCGGGGGGATCCCGTGCCCTCTTCTGGCAAACGTGCACGTGCACATAAAAATAAAATAAATCCGGGCGTGGTGGCACACGCCTTTAATCCCAGCACTCGGGAGGCAGAGTGAGTTCAAGGCCAGCCTGGTCTACATAGTGAGTTCCAGGACAGCTGGGGCTACAGGGAGACCCTGTCTCAAAAAGACAAAAAAAAAAATAAATAAATAAAAAATAATAAAAAATAAAATAAAATAAAATAAAATAAATCGGACCTGGCGTGGTGGCTCATGCCTTCAATCCCAGCACTCGGGAGACGCGAGACAGAGGCAGGCAGATGTTTGTGAGTTCAAGGCCAGCCTGGACTAGCAACATAGTGAGTTTCAAGCCAGCTGGGGCTAGAGAGTGAGACCCTGTCTCAAAATAAATAAATCATTAATAATTTGTTTAAATATATAAAATATAACCCTGCCTCCAGTACAAAGGTCTCCCTTCTTATTTTGTTCATCTGCGTTTTTCTGATATCATTAAGGTAATGTGTATTCATTCCACCGGAAAAGGTGTCAAATATTTCCATGGCAGGGACGAAAATCTGAAAGAAGATGTCTATTAGACAGTTTAAAACTCACTTTGTCACATCATCAGAGGTACACTTGGAAATAACACATTTTTAAAAAATTTTCTTTTTAAATTTTTATTTTATGCATATGAGTGTATCATCTGCATGTATGTGGGTGCACCTGTGTCGGGCAACGCCGTGGAGGTCATCGGATGCCCCTGGAACTGGAGTGAAGGTGGTTCATGTGGGTGCTAGGGAATCAAACCCGGGTCCTCTGCAAGAGCAGTCAGTGCTGTTAACCGCTAAGCCAACTCTCCAGCCCAGGAATGACATATTTTTAAACCCTGTAATTACCTCACAAATAGAATAGTTATACCAGGATTTTTCTCTTAAAGGATTAATTTGAATGCAGCTTGATGGCACATGCTTGTAATCCCAGCACTGGAGAAAGGTAGAGGCAGAAAGATGAGTTCAAGGCTGTTGCTATATAATGAGTTACAGGCTATCCTGGCCTATGAGAAACCCTGTCTCAAAACAAAACAAAACAAAACAAAACATCTTGGACATCAAGACAAAAAAGATGGGGCTGGAGATATGGCTCAGTGGTTATAAGTGCTTGCTGCTCTTGCAGAGGATCCGGGTTCCTTCCCAGCACCCATACCAGGTGGCTCATAATTGGTGGTAACTCCAGCTTCAGGCAATCCATTCCCCTCTTCTGGCCTCTGAAGGCACATACATACATGAAGACATATACACATTCACATAAATAAAAAGAAATCATAAAAAATTGAAGCCCGGCATAGTGGCACACACTTTTAGTCCCAGCACTCGGGAGCAGATGCAGGTGGATCTCTGTGGGTTTGAGAGCAGCCTGGTTTATATAGTGAGTTCCATTTCAGCCAAGGCTACACAGGGAGATCTTGCCTCAAAAACAAAAAAAGATTAACAATGTAAAAACCATAACAAAGGATATGAAAAGGCAATTCATAATTGAATAAATAAATTGTCGATAAATATATGAAAACCTCTAGAATATCGAAGACACGAGTTCAAAAGTAATGTTCAACTTTTTTTTTTTGCAGTGCTGGGATGGGACCAGCGCCTTACACTCCCTAGGCTAGCTCTTCCCACTGACCTGTGCCTGGGCCTCAGTCATTAACTCTTTGGATCAGATCAAGCTTTATTTTACTGGTTGTCTCAAACATGTCTGGCTAGACTTGGTTTGATTTATTGTGTAGAAAGAAGAGAAAGCTTTACCCTCTGAAGTTCCATATTTTAGTCTATGAAGTACACTGAGAATCACAGATTGCAGGAGAAAATCCACCTTACTCTGTGCATGCACACAAGAGGCCCACAAAATAGACTGAAAATGAGCCAGGCTAAAATGCATCACATCACATCAGAATAGATGGGGTCCAGGGTAAGCTATTGGGAGGCAGAGGGAGAAGAGCGTTGGAGTAAAGGTCGTCCGGCTATGCTGATCAAGTTCTTTTTGGGTCGTAAAAGTCAGTATAGGGGCTGGCCTGAGGCAAAGTCCCTCCTAGCACTTCAGGGAGTGGTCAAAAGCCAGATAAGAAGCCCCTTTCTGCCTTTGCTGTTCCCCAAGTTCTCTCTGGGAGTAATCAGCAAACCAAAGCTGCATATTTCCCAGTGGTATTTCCTGGACTTTTTTTTTTTTTTTTTAATGGTACAGAGATTGAATGAGGATCTTCTACATACCGGCCAGATGGGACCAATTCTTGACAGCCCCCCTTTTGGCAGGAGTTTTGAGGACCTCCCCCCCCCCGCAACCTTTCATCATCACGTCCTAAGGGCTGCACAATGCCGTTCCACTTCTCTTTCCTGGAGCATCGGCTGGACTTTTCCTGTAAGAGAACTTTCCTTCCTCAAGTACTTTATGACTCGGAAATGCAATTCACGCAGGAGAGGCATGAAGTGTGCGGATGCGCTAGGGAGACCTATTTTAGGGGGTCGAGAGGGGATACAAACATGCTTTTCATTTTCCAATCAGCTGCGAGGCTGTTGACAATATATAGAGCTGCTGCAAGTTTTGCATGGGTTGCACTTTGCATCAACTTGAAACTATTCTTGCTCTGTGTCAGCCGGGTAGCCGCTCCCAGACTAGAGAGCAGCTTGCCGAGGTCCCAGCAGGGTCCCGAGGAGGGCGGGGCGGGGCGGG